GACTACTTTCTTACACCATACAAAAACATAAGCTCCAATTGAATATTAAAGACCTAAATGTTAGACCTAAAACCATAAAACCTTAGAAGAAAACGTAGGTAATAATTTCTTTGACAGCAGCCTTAGCAGTAATTTTCTAGACCTTGTCTCTTCAGGCAAGGGAAACAGATGCAAAAATAAACTATTGGGACTACACCAAAATAAAAAGCTATTGCCTTTTCCTCTAAGAAAAGCGAAGGAAATTATCCACAAAACAAAAAGCAACCTACTGAATGGGATTAGATATTTCCAGTGATCCATCTGACAATGAGTTAATAGTCAAGATATATTAATAAAGTATACAACCCACCCCCCAAAAAGCCCATCAAACTATCCAGTTAAAAAATGGAAAGAGTACCTACCTGAATTTTTCCAAAGAAGACAAACAGATGGCCAATAGGTACATGAAAGAGACCTCAACATTACTAATCAGTAGAAATATGCAAATCAAACCACCATGAGATATCACTTTACACCTTTCAGAATGGCTCTAACCAAAATGACAAGAAATAAATGTTGTTGAGGATGCGGAGATAAAGGAACCTTCAGGCACTCTTGGTGGGACTGTAAGTTGGTAGAACCACTGTAGAAAACCATATGGAAGCTTCTCAGAAAATTAAAAATAAAAATACTATATGATCCAGTAATTCCACTACTGGGAATTTACCCACAGAAAATAAAAACACTAACCTGAAAAGATGTATGTACCCTGTGTATTGCAGTATTATTTGTAATAGCTGAGATCTGGAGACAACCCAAATGTCCATCAGCAGATGAATGGATATGTGTGTATATACATATACACATATACACACACACACCCTCAACCATAAAAAAGAGTAGTAAGATCTTGCCATTAAGACAGCGTGGATGAACCTAGAGGATATGCCAAGTGAAATAAGTCAGACATAGATAAATACATGGAATCTAAAAAAACAAAAAGCAGAAACCCATAAGAGAGAAAAACTGAGGGTGGGATGTGGGTGGGGGATGGGCAAATGAGTAAAGGGAGAGTGGAAGATAAAGGCTTCCAGTTACAGAATGAAGAAGTCACGGGATGATCTTCTTCTTCTTCTTCTTTTTTTTTTAACATATAATGTATTATTTGTTTCAGAGGTACAGTACAGGTCTTCAGGAGGGGAAGAATGAAGGGGGGGAAATCGGAGGGGGAGACGAACCATGAGAGACGATGGACTCTGAGAAACAAACTGAGGGTTCTAGAGGGGAGGGGGGTGGGAGGATGGGTTAGCCTGGTGATGGGTATTAAGGAGGGCACGTTCTGCGTGGAGCACTGGGTGTTATGCACAAACAATGAATCATGGAACAATACGTCAAAAACTAATGATGTAATGTATGGTGATTAACATAATATAATAAAAAAAAGAAATGGGATGAAAGGTACAGGGAATCTAGTCAATGGTATTGTAATAGCGTTGTATGGTGACAGATGATAGCTACGCTTGTGGTGAGCATAACATAAGATATAGACTTGTGGAATGTAACATTGTGTGTCAACTATACTTCAATTAAAAAAAAAAAACCACTGAGATATTTGTGCAAGTACAAAGAGACCAATGAAATAAAGAGCCCAGGAACATTCTATACACTATCACATTTACAAAATACTAATGTCTTCCCCACCAGAATGGCTAAAATGCAAAAGACAGACAATGTCATGCATTGAGGATGGGGCAAGCTCTACTGTTATGATGGAAAGAGCCCAAATGTCCATCAACTGATGAATGGATAAAGAAGAAGTGGTATATATATATATATATATATATATACACACACACACAATGGAATATTACTCAGCCTTAAAAAAGAATGAAATCTAATACTACACCACTGCATGTTAACTGGAATTTAAATAAAAACTTAAAAAAATAAGAATATATAAATTGATTAAAAAAAGATATGCCTCTTTGGCATATTGATTATTCTAAGTTGGTATTTTTTAAGAAACTGTAGACACAAGAATATCTCTGAAATCCCAGTTTCCCTCCCTTAAGAGACATTTCCATGTATAAGGGAAATCTGCATTTGTAAGGGTGTCTCCCTCAGTATCAGAAAGAGGGGGATGACTCTTAGATGCCTAGAAACTGTTACCAGTGGAGAAGGCATGAACTTAAATCTGCATGACAACTTTAGCCTTTTTTACTATGCCTTTTATGGTAACCTCCCATAAATGATCCTCTACCTACATCTTATCTTGTCTTTAGATGGAGATGGTATTTAAGGTGATGGCTTCAGCTATTTTGGTGAGATACTCAGTTTTCTTGGGTCTCTCCCATGTATACAGGAGGTATATATATTATTAAACCTTGTTTCATTTTCTATTAATCAGTCTTTTTTTTTCCCTTGGGTTCTTTTAAACTTAAATACAATTAGCCAACATTCTCTATTTATCAGTCCTGTGTAAACCTGGTTTTTAGTCCGGGTGGAAAAACCTTGAAATACAGAGGAAAACTTTTTTCCTCTCCCATACTACTAAAGCTGAATATATGAATATATCCTGTGTCCCAGCAAATCCACTTTTAAGCACATACCCAGAAGATCTGTGTATATATCTGTTAAAAGACAAACACAAGTATATTCATAGCAACATTATTCACAATAAGCCCCAGACTTGAAAGAATTCAGATACCTGGCATAGAATAAATAAAATTGTATATGTTCATCTACTGGAATACTGTTATATAATAAAAGGAAAGAATTACTTATATACAACAATATAAAAGAATCTCATAAAGTATAAATAAATAAAATTGTATATGTTCATCTATTGGAATACTGTTATATAATAAAAAGGAAAGAATTACTTATGTACAACAATATAAAAGAATCTCATAAAGTTAAGTGAAAGGAGCCAAAAACAAAATAATAATATAGATTCCACTTATTTAAAATTTGAAAGAAAGGTAAAGCTAATCTATAGTATTATAAGTAAAGATAGTTCGGCTGGGATGTAGTATCTTAAAGTGGATACGAGAGGGCTTGTGTGGTCCTGGTAATGTATGTTACTTGGTCTGGATAATGGTTACAAGACTGTTTACTTTGTGAAAATCCACTGAGTTACATTTATGATTTGTGTGTTTTTCTGTATGTTATACTAGAATAAAAAATTTAAATAAAAAACTTTCAAATTGTTCAGATTATTATCATTGAACTTATCCTTTGGCAGCTCTTGCTTTTAGTTGTGTTGACGGCTACCACATGTGATAATTTTTACAGACTCTTCCATGTAGACTGAAATACTTCAACTTACTTATTTTTTTAAAAAGATCTTATTTATTTCTTTGACGGAGAGAGAGAGCACAGCAGGAGGAGTGGCAGGGAGAGGGAGAAGCAGACTTTCTGCAGAGCAGGGAGCCCCACGTGGGACTCGATCCCAGGACCCTGTGATCATGACCTGAGCCGAAGGCAGATGCTTAACCGACAGAGCCACCCAGGTGCCCTTGAAATACTTCAACTTGAGTGCTCTTGTTATGTTACATAATTTACCTTCTTGCTTGCATCAAGCAACACTTTTGAAAGCCAAAAACTTATTTTCTGCTTTCAGAAATGTTTGAGAGAGCAGAGTCGAACTAAATTGAAGGGATTTGAGAGAAAATTAGCTTTCCCCAGCATGATGTGGGCTATATGGAAGAACTAGACAGAAACTGCCATTAAGAAACTAGAGATTCTTTCCTAATTCCTTTTCTAATTTTGAGTGGGAGTCACCCCAGTTTTCTAAAATAAAAGTGTACTAGAACATCCATTTGAATGTTCACCTCTTGATAGTTACTGTTGTTACTGAATGGTATCTTTGTCAAGGGAGTAATCAAGGTCAGAGGGTAAAGGCCTGAAGAAAAAAGGCTGAAAAGCAGGGAGGTACAGGGTTTCAGTGAAGAAAGATATTTGCTAGAAATGAGGCAGGGCTCAAAAAGACTCTGGCTAGGAAGTATCAGCTGGCTACAGGAATCTAATCAAAGCATTCACAGGGCACAGAAAGCATACTGGTGAATAATGGAGTTTCTTCCTTTTTCTGAAATTTTGTGATAATTTCTTCACATTCTTTTTCACCCTTAGTAACTTTAAATAGCTTTAAAATGCAAAACCTCCATCCTTAAAGAGAAGTTGGCAATTGCTCCCTCTGGCTGCAAATAGCATTAAAAAAACAAAGATGATCAATCACTGGAGAGGCTTGTTATAATAATTTGAAGCAAACTTACAAAGTAGAAATCTATTAAAACTTCCTTTCTCAGGAGTTCCACAAAGAAATGAATTCTTTTGCAATTCTGAGGGCCCTTTGCCTAATCTAGGAATAGTAAATACCAGGAAGAATAGAAATTGGGATGTCCAGAGATCAATAATTCCAGATTTAGTCACATTAGACAAACTAAGTTTAGGGAAAAGGGAGCTCATGTTGATATTATAATAGTTTTTAAAACTATCATTTTTATATATTATAAAGTTTTGTGTGGACCTTTAGATTAAATAGTTTTCTGATTGGTCTTCTTTGGAAGACTACACTGTAAAACAACTAGTGGCTTCTAAAAGAAACAAGTCACCCATCAAACCTAAAAGCCCATGTGAAATACTTTGATATAGGACAGAATTCCTTTGAGATATGACATGTCTATGTATATAAATAATTATATAAGTTTCTGTGTTGGCTAATATTAATAACGGTGCTTACGATAATAACTACCTCAAAAATCTTATGAAAACAGTGTCTTTTTGACTTTTTGCTAAATGGTGATTAATCAGTGATTATTAATTTTTATATCAACACTGTTCCCACTTACATATCCATATAGTACTACCTACCCAGGCTTAATTCTTTTTTAAAAGTCACTTTCTTACAAAGAAAGTAATTCAAATTAACCAACCGGGCCTTACAAACATAAATATACATGATACTGAGTAAGTATTGACTGAAACAAAAAGCACTTAAAAAAACCAGCATTAATTCTTACCAACTCCAGAGGTTATTGATTCTGCATCAATGTCACTAGCTCTTTTTCTTGCCACTTCAGCTAGTGCCAATTCACCCTTATCTAATGCAAAGTAATGGATGTCCTTTGGAAAAATAAAAAAAAAAAAATAAAAGGTTAATCCAAATAAATCTTGGTCAAGTTACAAAGAAGATTTTGAGCTAAAGAGCTTACTGTTCAGATTACAAAACAGACATGGCTGATGAATATTTTTTGTGTTTTAATTCTCTCAGTTTTCTAGTATAAGCAAATTTTCTTGAATTGTAGATTATAACTATACCTAATAGCATTATTTAAATAAGTTATTTTAATTCTTCAGGGAAAAAGACAAGTTTTTAAACCAAATGTTCGACATACTCAGTTTTGTCAGGAAATAAAAACATTTATTGCTATGTTCTTTGGTGAGATTTTAATATCTGAGATGACTTCTTCAAAATTCAATTGTATATAATATTATGATAAGCGTTTTACAAGAAATACAACTACACAAATTTGTCTCTGACATTTATGTGTCTGGCACATACTACTTTGTTAACATTATTAATATTACTATTATCTTGAACTCATACAGTCAGCAAATAATCAGCACCTACTGAGTGTTAGGCATTGTTCTGGAATATAGAGATCAATTACAATTCCATGTCTCAAGAAGCTGTGAGCCCAGTGGGGAGACAGATCATTGTGAACAGTTAATTACATAATGTGTGATAGGTTTTATAACAGATATTTGCACAAATATTTGCTGTGGAGTTAAAGAGAAGGAACTGATCTTTGCTCTGAGTCTTGAAGGACAAATAAGAGTTATGCTAGGAGGGAAAATAGAGAAAAAGCGACAGAATTAGTATCTGGTGCATATATATATATATATATATATACAGAAGATTGAAAAAAAGTTCTGTTAGGCAATGGTATATCTTTGAATATGGAAGGAGTCTTAGTTGGATGTGGGGGAGAAAGCAGTGTAAAATAATACTAAAATAGGTATAGCCACTAAAAAGGATTTTGAACTATTTTTGGGGTGTAAAAGATTGCTAGAATATTATTGCAATAAAAATGGAAAAAGAAGGGGCACCTGGGTGGCTCAGTCACTTAAGTGTCTGACTCTTGATTTCGGCTCAGGTCATGATCTCAGGGTCGTGAGATTGAGCCCTACATTGGGCTCCCTGCTCAGTAGGGAGTCTGCTTATCTCTTTCCCTCTCCGTCTCTCTCTAGAATAAATAAATAAACCTTTTAAAAAATGGAAAAATATAAACAACCAGTTTACAATGAAGAAATATAAATGCCCTATACTCATGAAAGATATTTCACTTTATTAATATTCAAATAAGTGCAATTGAAAAAATATAATTTCAAATTGTTTAAGTTCTTAGAAGTTCAGAATATTTACTGGCTGCAGAGACTTCCAGGGAAGATGGCAGAGTAGGAGGATCATTAGCTCACCTCATCCCATAAATACCACTAGATAACATCCACATCAGTGTAAATAACCCAGAAAATGACCTAAAGACTGACAGACCAGACTCTCTATAGGTAAATGCAGAGAAGCCACATCAAAGAGGGCAGGAAAAGTGGAGATGCTGTCAGGAGCCAAATGGACCCACAGGACTGTCCCCAGGAAGGAGGGACACTGTGGATGTGGAGCGGAGAGAGAAGCAGACCTCCACATCAGGCACACCAGGCATCCGAGGCATGGGGGACACACTGGGAAGACAAATCGTCATAACATTTGGCTTTGAAAACCAGGAGAGCCTAACTTCATGAGTTCTTACAATCAGTGGGCCATTACACCTGGAACTCTAAAAATCAGTGGGCGCGGTTCTAGGAGAGCAGGGAGAACAACAGGAAACTGACTTTCTGCCCTTAATCTTTTTTACTACAAACAGCCCCCCTGAAATACAGCATAGAAGCAGCAGTTTGAAAACTGCCTGGGGTATATGGGGATGAGATTTATTTACTAATCTCAGAGCATGTGCTGGAGGGGCAGGGATCTTTGGGAGACTTCTCCAAGAACAAAATGCTGCTGGGCACCATTTCACTCCCTTGTCCAACCCCCACCCCCAGCCTAAATATATGGATACCTGCAGGAACCAGCATAGCACCAACATGTTCCACCTAGCTTACTTACAGTGCACCTTGCCCTGGTGCACTTCTGCAGATCTGCATCCCCAGTCCCACCAGTCTTGACAAGTTTTCCCAGGTGGCTGCAGGTACTCTCCTTTAGTAGACTGGTGAAGACCATCCTGGCACCACATGCCCCACCCCTACATTCTACAGCAGACTTTCTTCCTCCAGTATGTCCTTGGCAGGATCCCATCCAAAGTGGTACCACAAGACTGGCAGTGTGCAAGCAGCCCTGACAGGGGTGAGCACCACTCCAAAGTAGAGGGTAAGATAACCCTATACTCCAATCCAACTGTGGCTCCAGAAGTGGGCTGGGAGCAGACATCAAGTCTGACTACAGGCTCCACCCACCAACAAAAACTCAGGGGAAGCACCTTGCAGTTTGGTGGTACTTCATCTCTGGTAAATGCCTGGTTTGACTCAGCTCAAACCCAACACGGCCCCAGAATGGCCCATTTTCAACACAGTGATCAAACTCTGCACACAAAAGGCAAAGAGAGTCATTGTAGATGACAGAACTAAAGGTAAATGCAGCTTAGCCACACAGTACTGCACATGCAACACACACAGGAGATACCCTGAAGCTCCAGGTTCTGTGAACTGGGGACATTGCACTGCAAGGCACTACATGACCTCCTCTTCATAAGGCCACTACTTCCTTTTTTTCTTTTTAAGATTTATTTATTTACTTTAAGAGAAACAGAGAGCGTTGGTGGGGACAGAGGGGAGGGAGAGAGAGAAACCCCAGCAGACTCCCTGGTGAGCACAGACCCCCATGTGGGGCTCAATCCCACAATCCTGAGATCACAATCTGAGCTGAAATCAAGAGTTGGGTGCTTAACTGAGCCACCCAGGTGCCCCTAAAGCCACTACTTTCAAGAGAAAGAGATATAGTGCACTTTACTAAAACACAGAAAAAGACACCAAGAGTTAGACAAAATGAGACAGAGGAATATGTCCCAAATGAAAGAACAAGACAAAATCACAGTGAGAGCTAAATGAAATGGAGATAAGTAATACACCTGATAGAGAATTTAAAGTAACGGTCATAAAGATATACTCAACTAGACTTGAGAAGAGTAGAGGAACTCAGTGACACCTTCAAAAAAGAGACAGAAAACATAAAAAAGAACTAATGAGAGACGAAGAACTCAATAACTGAAATAAAAAATACACTAGATGTAATAAATAGGAGAGTAGAGGAAGCGGAAGAACAGATCACGGACCTGCAGAAGAGAGTAACAGGAATCAAGCTGACTGGAGCGAGAGGGACAAAAAATAATGAAAAATGAAAATAGATTAATGGAACTCAGCAACACCATCAAGCATAACATTTACATTATAGAAATCCCAGAGGAGGAGAGAGAGAAAAGGGACTGAAAATTTATTTGAAGGAATAATAGCTGGAAACTCCCCAAATCTGGAGAAGGAAACAGAAATCTATACCCAGGAGGCACAGAGATTCCCCCAAAAATTAACCCACAGAAGTCCACACCAAGACACATAGTAATTGAAATGGGGGGGAAAAAACAGCAAAAAGGAGAGAATTTTAAAAGCAGCAAGAGAAAACAGTTACATACAAGGGAAATCCTGTAAGACTCTCAGTGGATTCCTTAGCAGAAACTTGTAGGCTAGAAAGGAGTGGCATGATATATTCAAAGTGCTGAAAGAAAAAACCCTGCAGCCAAAAATACTCTATCCAACATAGCAAGCAATCACTCATAATACAAGCAGAGAGAATTTCCCAAATAAAAATTAAAGGAATTCCTCACCCTAAACCAGCCCTATAAGAAATGTTAAAGGGGACTCTGAGTGGAAAGGCAAGTCCATAGGCAAGAGAAAGAAAAGTAGGAAGCAAAAAGGCACTAAAATTAAATATACCTATAAAAATCAGTCAAGGGCCTCACAGAATAAAAGGATGTAAAGTAGGGCACCATATACATACAACAGGGCTGGGAAAAGAGTAAAAACATAGTGCTTTTAGGATGGGTTCAAACTTAAGTGACCATCAACTAAACACAGACTGATATACAGTTGATGTTATATATAAACGTCATGGTAACCACAAATCAAAAACTGATACTAAATAGGCAAAAAATAAAGAGAAAGGAATCCAAGTATTATCACTAAGAAAGCCAGAAAACCATGAGAGAAAAGAGCAAGAGAACAAAGGAACAGAGAAGAACTACAAAAACAGCCATAAAACAAGTAATAAAATGACAATAAGTACATACCTATCGACAATTACTCTGATTGTAAATGGACAAAATGCTCAAATCAAAAGACATGGTGATGGAATGGATAAAAAAAGCAAGGCCCATTTATATGTCTGCCCATTTCAGACCCAGAGGCACATTCAGACTGAAAGTGCAGGGATAGAAAAGCACTTATCATGCAAATGGATGTGAAAAGAAAGCCAGGGTAGCAATACTTACGCTGGACAAAATGAGCTTTAACAGAAGGTTGTAATAACGGAAAAAGGACACTATATAATCATAAAGGGAACAATTCAAAAAGAAGGTGTAATAACTGTAAATATTTACACACCCAACATGGCAGCCTCTAAATATATAAAGCAGCTAATAACAAACATAAAGGAAATAATCAATAGTGATACAATAATAGTAGGGTACTTTAACACCTCACTTACATCAATGGGTAGATCATCCACACAGAAATTCAACAAGGAAACAGTGGCTTTGAATGACACACTAGGCCAGATGGATCTAACCAATGGATCTGGACCAGATCTATTCAGAACATTCCATCCTAAAATAGCAGAATACACTTGATTCAAGTGCACATAGATTACTGTCCAGAACAGATCACAAGGTTAGCCTGCAATAATTTCAACAAATTCAAAAAGACTGAAGTCATACTATGCATTTTTTCGGACCCCACTGCTATAAAACTAGAAATCAAACACAAGAAGAAATGTGTAAAGAACACAAATACATGGAGGT